TCACCACTTGTAACAGTCCCTGTGGTGTAGGGTATGGATAGGGGTGTTTGTGTGTGGGATATTTTTTTTTTTAAAAGGTTTTATTTATGTGTTTGACAGAGTGAGAGAGATCACAGAGCAGCAGGCAGAGAGAGTGGGGAAGCAGGCTCCCCGCCCAGCAAAGAGCCCAATGCAGGGCTTGATCCCAGGACCCTGAGATCATGACCTGAGCTGAAGGCAGAGGCTTTAACCCACTGAGCCACCCAGGCACCCCTGGGATCTTATTTTTGAATAAGGGTTGGAGTGTTGGTTACTACAAGGACTGGAAATTTTGTACTACTGGATCAAAACTATATTTTGCAACAAAGTTACCATAAAACCTTAAATGAACTAAATGTGACCAAAACTATTTTGAGATTGTCTTATATTTGAGATTGCCAGGAACAGGAAAAGAAATAGTCCCATGGAATAAATTCAAAGGGATATCGGGAGAAAAAATTTTCTTTTAAGACATATTTGTTTAAGGTACTAGGTATACAATGTATAAACTGCAAATAAGCAACAAGATAAGAATACTGTAGATCAAGGAATTTCCATGAAAGATTTCATAAAATATCTGGGAAATTGGAAACAGGAATGAGGAAACCATAAAGTTGTGAGCCAGGGGTATGTGGTTTGTTGCTAAAGCACTGAATCTTTACTTCTGCGCTGTTACCAAAGATGTATACCATCCCCAAAGCAGGAATTGATGTCTTTGCAACTAAGAGTTGGTTATCCCATGGATAACTACCCCGAATACACATAAATCAAGATTGTCATTCCAAGTTATGACTGATGGGACTCAGATTTTGTAAAGAAAATTGCAAAAAAAAAGCGGTGTGTTTAACCTAAATTTAGGTGCTTTCTGTACTGTTCTGCACAAAGTTTGAACTACTGATCCACTGTTGGTAGACATAGGCTTTGAATTTCCAGGACTGGATTTATGTTGCATTCTCCATTTCCCCTTGCCTCAACCCGTTGTGAGTAAAAGCAGCAGTTTCTGTATTAGCTGCTTATAAGTAATGTTTGTGCTCAAAGGAGAGAATGTTTTTCTGTGTGAAGCTGACATTCGGTTAGCACCAGAGTTTTGCTTAATTTCAGTGTTTTCATCTTTTAAATCTATTGATCGAAATGGATTATTGTCATATGGTAGTATCCACAATTAGGCATAATCAGAATCTATATAGTCAAGTGAGGTATTTTCCATAGATAGGCCACAAATCCAAAATTTTCTATTTGGGCAAAAGTTTCACTATCTTATCTGAAACTAATATAAATCCCATAGCCGTGTGCTAATTCAGCAAATATTTACTGAGTACCCATGCTGTGCCAGACACAACAGGGGTGCAGCGATGATTAAGACATCCACCAATCCGAGGTCTCAGGGAGATTGTGATTGGTGCATCCTGGTTGGGTCCACGGCAGATGACATAGGGACACTTCACTATCCCAAGGTTCTACTATGCTCAAGATAAGCAAAATAAGGTCATTGGCTGTGTGGAGTTCTTATTAGAAAAGGAATGGATGGCAAGACTCACAAAATAGGATTTTCATAAAAGTTCATAGTAAGGGATGAAAGAGGTATGCTTTAGATAGAAGAAAAAAACTCAACAGCTTCGAGAAGATTAGAGGAACAAAAAGCATAGCAATAATTAGGTGCATATTTTTTTCTTTTGTCATACATGACAGTATCTGGGAACCACAGACAGTTTTAAAGAAGAATTAATTTGAAAAAGTATGTTGGGGGAAGGAGCAGGAATAAAGAGATGGGAAGGTTTCCAGAGAAATGAGGTCAAGGAGGAAAGCTGAAATAAGACAGTGTGTGTGTGTGGGTATGCACGCACACGTGTAGAAATTAACAGTACCAAATATTTAGTGGGTGCAGAAAATCATGTTAACTCATGTGTGAATTAAAATCATTGGTCATGCAACTATCATATGATCTCCCTGATATGAGGAAGTGGAGATGCAATGTGGGGGGTTTGGGAGGTAGGAAATGAATAAGTGAAACAAGATGGGATCGGGAGGGAGACAAACTATAAGAGACTCTTAATCTCACAAAACAAACTGAGGGTTGCCGGGGGGAGGGAGAGGGTGGTGGGGTTATGGACATTGGGGAGGGTATGTGCTATGGTGAGTGCTGTGAAGTGTGTAAACCTGGCGATTCACAGACCTGTACCCCTGGGGCTATTAATACATTATATGTTAATAAAAAAATTACTTAAAAACAATCATTCATCATGAAAAGTTCATTATTATATTTTGTGATCCTGGGTTCCTTTGACCTTTCAGATTCACATTACTGTCCTTAAACATTTATGTTTTTTGATCCACCAAAATTCCACTGGTGGTGAATGATACCCTTCAAAATAAGAAATGATACAGCCTAAAATCTAGAGGCTGGGCACCTCTCTTAGCTTGTCCCTAACTCAAAGAAACTTCACTGTCAGTTTTAAAGCTAACCATTTTAATAAATATGAACATCTGAAAAGATGATACCTTTGTGTCACACAATGTTCTAAGAATCAATAAGCAAATGTTAATTGCTACTTAGAAATGTTTTATAAAATGAGTTAGAAGGTAAATGCTGAAATACTACAATAGGGAAATGCAAAGTGGTAGATATGTCAAAGAAAACCCATTTTCTAAAACATTAACTTAGGAGTTTGCATTCTGGGGAGGAAACTATCTATAGTCAATATTCATTGTTCAAGGACCTCTGATTTATTTTCATGCTCAGCATAATTGGATAGGGCTAGACCACACACATGTTCTAAGAGGTTGCTATTCTTTGTTGGCTAGGAATAAAATAGGGCCAAAGAATCCAGCTTTTGGACTTAGAAGTTTTCAAAACAAAATAAAACAAAAACAAATGCATATTGTCAGAAGAAATAATTTGCTTCCCCTTCATATGGGCATCCTAATATAGGAATAAGAAAACTGATCATTTTGATTCGTGTGTCCCCAGTCTGCAGATATAGATGACTATCAACAGGCAAGTGTTTCTTTATGATTGCTTTTCCACTTTCCCAAGCAAATTTTCTTCTTTAGGCCACAACACATTTTAGACAGTTCTTTACAACATCTTCACTATCATCTCCTAAGGCAACAATGATGAGGCAGTATTATAATGTGGTCATCATTTTATTCCTTAAAACTGAATCAGTATCAGCATCTACCAACCTAATGCAAATTTTCCATCTTAGATCCTTAGTTTCCTGAATTGCATTTATGCAATTTATTTATGCAGCTTGGTTTTCTTACCCATGGCATAGAACTTAGTCTAGAATCAATTCTGTAAGTAAACTACCATAGCGATTCCCAGAATAATGATTCTCAGGGGAACACTGATGCATGTCACAGATATTCAAATGGAGAGGATTGGGATGTTTTTGAAACTACTCCTAGTCCCCGCTATTGGCCCTGGAGTTAATAACGAGCTCTATCAGGTATAGGACACTCAATTCATAGAAGTTCATGTTCACATATACTCACATTTCAGTATTTCAGGAGACAAACCCTACTTTGCCATGAACTGGGCAGGGGATTAGCATGGATCTACCTACAGAGTAACTATGAAAGTAACCTCACACGGCTTGTGTGCTAACCTGGTATTATTTTTACAGGGTTCCCAATTGCTCCCTCTCTGAGTTGCAAAAGACATCGGCTGATTACAGCTCTGATTTCAGTGATATTTAGAAGGATTAACAACCACAAATGTGATGACAATATTATAGGAAAGCAAATCTGTATCAGACAGAGCAACATTTATGGCAGCTTAAAGGTAATTGTCATAAAACTGAAAAAGGCTGCACCGTTTTAGGGAACATGTGAAGTGTCCTGGGGACTAGGGCTCTAGTTCTAGTTCTACCACTGACAGTTTGACAACTGTGCCCCCTGTTTCTCGATCTAGAAGAAGGAAGGGAGAAAAATAGTTGCCTTGGCATTTATCTCCCAGAAACATACCTAATTTGGTGAAATAATACATGAAAAGTGTACTCAATTATAACAAGCCTAAGTGTTCTTCTTCAGTTCAAGCAGCACATTTTCAAAAGAACCTATTTAGTAAAAATTGCCCAACATATCACGCAATTGTAAAATACTGTATATCCATGGCTCCACTGGAGGTAAAAGATAGAAACAAAGGAAAACAGCATATGGTCAGGGAAATCTGGAGCCTTGTTTCCAGGGATCACTTACGCCACAATTTCCACAATATTTGGCATACAGTTTTGCCTGATATCTTATGTTATGTTTCAAAATAGATTTTTATCAGTTCCCACCTTGGGAAATTAACCAAAAGTTAGGTTATTAAAATGTAAACTTACATTTAAAAAATAACCACATTATGAAATGCAAAAATAAATGGCCCAAATAACAAAATACTCAGTCTATTTTTCTTTTATTTGATGCTCACCTATGGCTTTCCTTTTTCTCCTTCAGTGTGAGAACTTACTAGAAAGCAAGGAATTGTATGGGTTGAACCACAGGATATTGCCTATTGATGGCTATTTCACATGATTCAAGCTATTGTAAAGAGTGAGAGGAACTGGTGAACCGACCTCTAGCACAATAGACTGTAGGAGACAGATAAAGGACACCGTGGCATCCCAGTGTTCCTTAAAGTCTAGATCTTCTCATATATTGCAATATTTCAAAGATGTGATGGTATTTGCCTATACTGAGTTGAGGATTGCTGGAATGTCCAGCAAACTAGCTAGTCCTTCTCTTTCTTTAACATATTCTATTCTGTGTAAACACATATAAATAGTTAAACTGATTAACTACCAAGGTAATCAAGAACTGTAGATCCATGTGGATGAGTTTCCCATATGACCCTCTGTTAATCTATGTTCTAACTTCTACGAGTGCAGGGTCAGGTTCACTGAGGTCTGGTGACCTGACCATCCAAGGACTAAGTTAAGTGAAATGGTATTTCTTATCATGAAATTCCAAAAAACCATTGTGTGCAACAATCTTACCTGCTGGTTTGATCTGGCATCACTGAAATTCATTTTTTTCCCCAAGTCTTGAATGACCGCATTCTTAGTTTCACGAACGTAATCATCATTCACCGGTTGGGGAGACTTTGTGTTTTTCTTCATTAGTCCCTGGGATGGCCTGTAAAATAAATTCACACCTGATACACCCATGAGAAACCCTTGCCAGTGTCTGAAAGCCTAGAAATTGGAGTGGCTGAAATGGCGGTCAGACAGTAGGAGTCACCAGGCCCTTAGGAGGTCAGCTCGGGTACCAAAGTTGAGCACTGCACAGAGACTCTGTGTCTGTAGAGGTGTTTTCAATATTTAAATTATTAAACCTGTAAGGTGTTCAATATCCATTTAGTGCCTCAGAGATAGGATTATCTGGGATCCACTAAATGAGAGTCCTGTCCCAGACCAAGCTATTCCATGTATGTCCTTTCTTAAGTGACATCTTTTTTTTTTAAGATTTTATTTAGTTATTTGACAGACAGAGATCACAAGTAGGCAGAGAGGCAGGCAGAGAGAGAGAGGAAGGGAAGCAGGCTCCCTGCTGAGCAGAGAGCCCCATGTGGGGCTCGATCCCAGGACCCTGAAACCATGACCTGAGCCGAAGGCAGAGGCTTAACCCACTGAGCCACCCAGGCACCCCTTAAGTGACATCTTTTACTCAAGAAATGTAAATGACACTTACACAGATGGTGCACTTCTGGGCAGCCCCATGGCATTGGTGGGAGGGATGGCAGGGAGAGAAGGCAGAACAGAGCTGAGGAAAGCCACGGGGTTCTGAATCCGGCTGGTGGGAGAGACAGGAGCTGGGGAAACACAGCGGGGCTGAAACTGGTTTCCACTGGAGATGGCAAACGTGAGTGGTGCTGGTGCTGGCTCTACTGGAGCTAGAGGGGGTGGCTCATTTGGGACGGAAACTCCTCCTAGAGATTTGTTTGGCACGGAGGGCTGAGAAACCAAGAGGCTCTCTTTGCTCACTGTCCTCTGAATGGTTTGAGGAGCGCTGCTCAGGGTGAACACTGGCGAGCTGGAAGGGGACACAGTTGCTGCGGTGGTGTTTGGAGAGGGGAAGAAATGCTTTGGCCGAGCCAAGCTGAATGTCTGTGATGAAGGAGCCTTCACCTGCTTGCTGGGCATCGTCACCGCCTGGGAAGCAGTGGAGTTCAAAACACTCATGTTGAAAGGAAACTCCTTAGGAGAGGAAGGAGATGGGTTTTGCAGCTGCTGTTGTTCCAGTAGGACTTGGTTGTGAAGCTGTTGTAGCTGACTGGAATCACTGCACAAAAGACGGGGAGAGAGAAGGGAAATCTGTCACTATCAGCCTCACCCATCAGAAAACGTCGCGACAGTCTATTTACAGTTCTATGCTGATTCAGAACACACAACCAGAGTTGTCAGAAATGAGCTAATCAATTCCTCGTGAGCGGTTTTTCTTTCCTAAATCTGTTTTATTGTCGGCAAGAAGGGGAAAAGCCACCACAATGCAAGGCATCGCTCACATTGTATTCTTTGTGTGGTGACCTTGAAACACAGCAGCACAATTTTAGGATGTTTATAAATTAGAAAGAAGAAATAGAAACAATGGTCCTCTGTTGGGAATGCCCACAGTTCTGACTGGAGCAGACTGTATCTCAGCTTTGGGACAGAAAGCGGTGAGCTGCATATTGCTGTAAGGAACTGAATGCATTGTATGCTTCATTTTGCCTCAGTTTAAAACCTTAAGAAAGCCACTGGATGTGTCTTGGTGTTTCTCATCCCCTCTTGACAACAAACGTTATAGATAAGGTGACCACATGTCTCAATACATTCTGGGCAGTCTGGGTTTATGACTGCTTTCCTGGTGCTTTTTTTACTCTCGAAAATGTCATGATTTGAATGGTAGATTATATGGCCATCCTAATTAGAAACATTGCCTTAGACTTTTCTTGTTCCTAAGAGGAGAAGAAGATCAAACAGAAAATACTTTCTTCTTTTGTAGGAAACTGAATCACAGAAGCATTATATGATTTGCCCACAGTCTATTTATCTTAACAAAATGGCTAGTCATTATTTTTTTTAAAGATTTATTTATTTGAGAGAGAGAGAGAGAGCAAGCGAGCATGGGGGGAGAGGCAGAGGGAGAAGGTAAGAGGGAGAGAAACAGATTCTACTAAGCACAGAGCGAGCCCAATGAGGGGGTCAATCCCGTGACCCCAAGATCTCGACCTCAGCCAAAATCAAGAGTTGGATGCTCAACTGACTGAGCCACCCAGGTGTCCCCAGTTATTTTTTTAAAGGTTTTATTTATTTATTTGACACAGAGAGAGAGAGAGAGAGAGAGAGATAGCAAGAGAGGGAACACAAGCTGGGGGAGTGGGAGAGGGAGAAGCAGACTTCCTGCTGAGCAGGGAGCCCAAGGTGGGGCCTGATCCCAGGACCCTGGGATCATGACCTGAGCCGAAGGCAGATACTTAAGGACTGAGCCACCCAAGTGCCCCTATTTTTTAAGAAAGAAAATGGAAAATGAAAATCTGTAAAAATCTCATGCGCATAAAGTTGTAAGGGCTGCTAAACATTGCTATTTAGAAGAATCTACTCTCAAATGAGTAACTACAGGAAGATCCACAAGGAAGACTGTGGTGTTTCAAATCTGCCATGGTTTTATGTTCTTTGGAAACATAGGTTGCTTCTGGAACATAGAAGGTGATCTGCTGAACATGAGAGCTATTAAAAATGAAATGTTCAGTATTTTCATAGCATTAGGAAAGTCAACACCAATGGTAATAAAGTCGAACCAGGAGGTTCTCCAAACCTTGATTTTTCTTAATTCTGGGAGTTTAAGACCTTTCTCCTTCCTTTCATTAACATTTCTTTTTTTTTAAGAATTTATTTTTAATTTATTCATTTGACAGACAGAGATCACAAGTAGGCAGAGAGGCACTCAGAGAGAGAGAGAGGAAAGCAGGCTCCCTGCTGAGCAGAGAGCCCCATGTGGGGCTTGATCCCAGGACCCTGAGATCATGACCTGAGCCAAAGGCAGAGGCTTTATTTACCCCACTGAGCCACCCAGGTGCCCCTCATTAACATTTCTAATTACAATATATGGAAAAGTAACTTCACAAAATAGAGCCCCGTATGTTGGCATATAGCTATATAATATGCAATCCTTCCTTGTTTGTCGATAAAAATTCTTGTTTTGACTTAAACTAAGAATTCAGAAGCATTAACCACTTGGTACAGTAACTTTCTTCTCTCTCTACTTTTTAGAAGTATTTAAGCTTAGAGAATAAAGTAATATAGTTACAGATTAATTAAACCTTTTAGTTTCATCATGGATGAAAGATTCAGCAATCAAGAGAAGCAGAAATATCTTTGTTAGGTTATCCTTAGTAAAATATAAAATATATACAATTAATATTGTTTCTGTTAGTGTTAACTTTCCCAATGGTATGAAAATACAAAAATCTTTAGATTTTTTAATGGATTTCATATTTGTCAGGTCACATTCTGTGGTTCCCATAGCCTGAAGACAATGCTGTATGGTTTTCAGGACATCTCTGTACAGAGTAGTCTACACAAATTTTAGTCTAACGATTTTCCAGAATCCTTTTCTCGTGGCTACAGAAATAGAAAAAGTAGTATATGACAAGTAAGTAATCTCAGAAAGATAAGGATGATCGAAAGGGGCAGGAAGTCATTTGGTACTGATTGAGTCTTATTTTCCTTTAGTTCCCATTGAATAAAAACTAAGAACTATCTTTTTATTTTAAGTAAGATTTCCAACAGCATGTCAGCCCTTATCATTTAATGCAATGTATCAGATTAGAGAGGGTCACAAACCTTAAACATAATGATATGTGAGATAGAGTGTCAAATCGTTTTGCTTATCTAAGATTCTGGAAGAATTCATTTGAGAATAATGTCTCTTTTTGTTTGAACAAGATTGGTTTTTGTTTGTTTTCTTGTTTCTCATTTCATTAATCTTGTTTCACAAGGGATTTAAAGCAGCAGTTTGGATTGGCTTATTCATTACATCAGTTGTCAATGCCATTATTTGACGAACTTTTTTTAAATCTTCTGTGTTAACTTTGCTAGGCACTATAGGAGAGATACACATGTCTGAGATAGCACAAGCTATTCAGGGCTCCAAAATCTTACTATACATACATACAACATAAATAACCACTGGTTATTTAGGAGAACACGTGGAACTTACTTGCTGCTTTAATAATGAAGGTACAAAGAACAATGAAAGAATAAAGGAAGGGAAAATTACAAAGGCATTCTAGTTCTAAAATCCCAAGTAACATCTCTAAAACAAAGTAACAGCACGTCTTAAATTGCTACAAGCTCAGCTGCTCTTTTCTTGTTGCCATGAGGATTTCTGAAGTTAGGTCTGTATCCAAGTTTCTTTTATCAGCTTTCAAGCAGACACCAAGCTTTCTTTTACCCATGCAGATTTATCAGCGCTCTTGAGTTACCTGAATATATCTTCTCCTTTGCCACAACACATAATTTAACCATGATGCTCAAGAATATGGTTTCTGCAGACAGACAGACTTAGGTCCTCATCCTGGCTCTGGCACTCATTTATTGTCTGTGCGGCTTTGGGTAGTTTCTAGGCCTTTTCTGACCCTGATAGCCTCACAAATAAAATAGGAATAAGTACACTCTCAACATTGTTGTGAGAATTGATCAAATCACGGAAAACATGTAAGTACTCAATAACTGGTGGCTTTTTATTTTTTAGTTTGTGAACCACAAATGTCAATTTCAAGATTTATAAGAATGAAAATTGAGAGTATCAGAATAATAAAGATGCTTCTTTTTGTTTCTGGGGAACAAAGGAATCTCTTAGGGGTTTTAGATGAAAAAGCTTAGTGACAAAAACAACAAAACAAACTTGGGATAGTGTATCAAGTCCTTTTGAAAGCTGTTTTGGCAACACAAATTTTGGGCAGTGTGTGCTGGAGCCAGTTCTCGATTGCTCTGGAGAGCAGATTGTGCACATCTCATTCCAATTCCCAGTTCAATGACCTTTCTTTAGTAGCTTGAAATAGAACACGGTGGAAGAAAATTGGCAAATGCTACAAATCAGGGCTTCCCTGTCTTTATCCGTTTTTAAAACATCTGCTAGCACATCACTAATTAGAATAACAAATTCTGAGTAAATATGTCTCTGCAATTGGCTTCTAGCCATGGTTTTAGCAGTGGCTACCATGCTGGCTACACACTAGAATCACTCACAGAGCATAAAAGACAGACAAACCTCGATGATTTAGGCACCATTGCCCAGAGAGTCCAGCAGCCCGGGAAAAGATCCAGGCCTAGTTATTATTCTTTTTAAAAGTAGGTCAGTGGTTCTTAAACTTTAGTGAGCCTCAGAAGCCTCTGGAGGGCTTATTGAAACCCAGATTTTGCTCTCCCCGCCCCCGACCCCCAGCTTCTGCTTCAAGTCTGGAGTGGAACCTGAGAATCTGCATTTTCTATCAAGCTCCCGGGGGGATGCCAGTACCGTGAATAGCAAGGCTCAAGGTGGCTTTTGCATACACCTGGGACTGAGAACCACTGCTCTAAAGAAACACTTGTCCCCAAAACCGAGGCTTTCCCAGTACATGCTGATTTTTGTCTGACATTTTCCCCACTTTAAATGTTAATTATTGTGTTCCCCTGGGTGTGGAGGGGTGTGTGTATGGGGTGGGGCAGAATGATAAATCGTGGTAACCCAGACTTTCCAACTTTAGACCAGTAGTTTCCAAAGTGGATGAATATTAAAATATCTGTGGAGGGATTCTGATTCAGTTGGGATAGAAGACATAAATATTTTTTTAAAGGCTCTACCTTTCATTAGAGAGTGTAGCCAGATGAAGAATCACTGCTCTAGACAGCTTGAATTCAAATTGAAAATCTCAAAGTCTGAATTATCCAGGCTTTGATGATACAACGTTTAAAAATGACAGTTTTTGTTTCTGTTGCAGTTTTAAGATCTGTAAGAATTATGTCTATTTTCCATGTGAGTGGCAAGTTGAGAGAATAAGCAGAAAATTGTGCCCTCAAGAAGATTATTCAGAGAGTCAATATATTGTAATGCAAAACCTAGAAGATTAAAAACAATGAGGTCAAAACCAGCAAGAAAAGGCTGTTAGAGGGGCGCCTGGGTGGCTCAGTGGGTTAAAGCCTCTGCCTTCAGCTCGGGTCATGATCCCAGGGATCGAGCCCCATGTCGGGCTCTCTGCTCGGCAGGGAGCCTGCTTCCCTTCCTCTCTCTCTGCCTACTTGTGATCTCTGTCTGTCAAATAAATAAATAAAATCTTTTTTTAAAAAAAGGAAAAGGCTGTTAGACATATGGGTTCACAAAGGACTGCTGTATGTGTTGTGTGTATGTGCATGTGCACACATACATATATGTTTATCCCTCTACTAATACAACCTATAGACACAATTAAGAGAAAACTTAAGGAAGGCAAAAGAGATTAAAGAATTATATAGCACTGAGGGCTGGATTTGTAGAGCGTGTCACTGCGTAGTTTAATAACAAAAAATTATATTCATTGAAAATCTGATGTGGCAGATGCTGCTGGCTGACTGCTTAATTCTTCCCTTTGTGAAAGAACTTGATTTTATTCATGGAGGCAACATCTGCAGCCAAAGACTACACTTCCTAGTCTCCTTTGCAGCTACTATACCGTGTGACTAAGTTCTGGCTGATGAGGTACAAACACAAGATTTTTGGGTAAGACCCAAGAAGGCTCCTTAAAAGGAGTCGGACATCAGGCCTTCCACCTATTTGCCTGTCCAGCAGCTTGAAATCAGACATGATGACTAGACCACCATCAACCATCCCGGACCAAGAGGGGACCTGGGGAGGAAGCCAGAGCTGAAGGAGGCAGAGTGGAAAGACAAGAGACTGGGTTGTCTCTTGTCAACTGACTGTGGAGCCTCTCTAATGGCCTCAGACTGCCCTCTAATTCCTTTATTTAAGAGGAAAAACCCTCATGTGTTTAACCCACCATTTGTTTGGGTTTTCTGCAACACAAAGCTAAACTGAATCCTAACTGATATACCTAATCATCCCTGAACAGTCCTTGGGTAAGAGGAGGCTCTATAAAAAAGGCAGTTCCCAAGGAAATTGTTTTGGATTACCTGTTCCCAAAACTCCCTTTTCTGTGAAATCCCCCTACCCCCTAACCCCCACCTCACTGTCCTTCATAGTTCTGATTTGATCCATTTGACTCTTCTTTCCTCCAAACATAAATCCTCTGCATCTGACCAGCTGGTATTTGGAATTGAGCTGCTATGAATGATTTAATTAGCAGTGGAACTTGACACAAATTGTAGAATGGGACATGCCATGATGGGCCAGGTGTGAGGTGATGAGTCTTCAAAGAGGGAAGAGTGGAGGGGATATGCAAAGAAGAAACAAGGAGATGCTCCAGACAGAGAGTGAGTGGGGGACAGAGGCTTGGGGTATCTTTCTCCAGGCAGGACCTGGCTGCCTTCAGGTTCCCATTCCTGTGTATTTCCCTACAGTAACCACTTTTTTACTTTAGTGGATTCCTATTTCCTGTGACCAGCAGAAATTTCAGGGGACAGAGACATTTTTGGATGTGGTTTTCCAAGAGGCATGCCTCATAACATTTAATTTTATGCCCAGGATTTTGCCTGATGTGATAGTGAGACAAACATAAAACTAAATGACCTGAGGATTGTTGGGGGGTGGAGGAGTAGGGATAGGGTGGTCGGGTTATGGATACTGGGGAGGGTATGGGCTATGGTAAGTGCTGTGAAATGTGTAAGACTGATGATTCACAGACCTGTACCCCTGGGGCAAATAATACATTATATGTTAATAAAAATAATTAAAAAAAAACTAAATGGCATCCCCTGCTTCCATTGAACATCTTGTGTTCTGCACTGAGAAACGCATGATGGGATCACTGTTACTATAGATTTTAATTTTGACCTTTAAAGGTTTATGTAATTATAAATATAATTTTTATAACTTTGATCCAACATAACACATTAGTAGTAATTTCATATTCTGTGTTTGCTTTATTATGGATGAACTTTAAACATTGCAACATGGCTCCGATGGAGGCTCCCTAAGGGGTTAGGGTGACATCACATCAGGCCCCAAGGTGAGTCTGAAAATTATGACTCATCATTCTTTCATCCCCATTATATTATATGAAACCTACTGTGGTTATTATAGCATATCTAGCCACAGCAAAGAATGGTCAAAAAAGTACTAGAAATCTTTTCCATAATGACTACAAGAGCTTTAGCTGAAACAGAAATGGGAAACATAAGGATGAAATTATAGATTATAAGGATTACTAGATTCAAGAAAGGGCTCTATAAGAAGAGTGCAGAAGGGCTTCATTTAGAGCCTCTAATGTTAGACAAACATCTTTATCCGCTAGTTTAGGGATAACATTAGGTATAACATTTTTCAGAGGTAGAATATTTAACAGTAAGGATAGTAGTGAGAGTACACTAATGTTGGTGCAAGGATTTATGGTTTGCAAAGCATTTAAATTGTTTCTTCTCATTCTGTTTCAGACCCCCCCCCCTTTTTTTTTAAGTAGGCTCCACACCCAGCATGGAGCTCATTGCAGGACTTGAACTCACAACTCTGAGATCAAGACCTGGACTCTTAACCAACTGAGCCAATCAGGTATCCCATTCAGCCCCATTTTTTTTTTAATTCTTTTATTTTTTTATAAACATATAATGTATTATTAGCCCCAGGGGTACAGGTCTGTGAATCACCAGGTTTACACACTTCACAGCACTCAACATAGCTCATACCTTCCCCAATGTCCATAACCCAACCACCCTCTCCCTAACCCCCCCCCACCCCACAACCCTCAGTTTGTTTTGCGAGATTAAGATTCTCTTATGGTTTGTCTCCCTCCTGATCCCATCTTGTTTCATTTATTCTTTTCCTACTCCCCAAACCTCCCATATTGCCTCTCAACTTCCTCATATCAGGGAGATCATATGATAGTTATCTTTCTTCGATTGACTTATTTCGCTAAGCATAATACCCTCTAGTTCCATCCACGTCGTCGCAAATCAGCCCCATTATTCTTAAGGGCAGATTCAGAGAGGCTCAGAGGCACCCTGGTCCTGTTTTAATTTTTACTTACAGTTTGGGTTTGGCCAGAACTGGAGGGGGTTCTTTGATGGGTGAAGAAGGCTCAGGGATTTTTGCTGCCTGTCCATTGAATCTTTCCGGGAAAGAATCGGGCCTGGTCTGCTTGGTGGTCACCACACCCTCCTCAGAAGATGCTTCACTTCCTTTGTCATCTTCTGGCAGGTTGAAGTGCACACGGAGCCCAATCCTTGAGCTGGACCGGGGCTCATTGTGGTTCACCAGAACTCCTTCAAGTTTGGGTTTAGGGGCTTGTTCCACAGAAGGGGGCTCTGGGTTGGGTGGGGATGGCTGTTGCTCAGTAACAGCCAGGTTGGTGGTGGAATTGGCCGAGTGAAGAGACCCATTATTTCTGAGGTCTTCATTTCCTGAAAGGACAATAACAGGACCTGAGCTGTTAGCCTCACCCAGTAAGACTGAGACAGGATTATAACTGTGAGCTGGGCCATGCAGCCAACCAGATGAGTATGCTAATGGGAGAATGCTTGTCAAAAACAGTGACCATAATCTGGGGCATTAAAGAATGGTGAGGATACAGGACGAAAAAAACCCTTAACTAAAAATCCAAGTACCGGTTTGGAAAGAATATTAGAAGTGTGTAAAACACCAAGGGGATGTTTTCTTAAGGAATACAAGAGATAGCAGCAGGGTCATGGGTAGTGGTCATAAATGCAACAAGAAAATGAAAATTGGATATTGTTCCATAGTCTAGACTGTTCTGGCCTTCCAGGACCCTTACCTCTTACATCGAGCTGTGCAATGCTTGACACCGTGCCGTATTTGTTGCTGGCTGTACATGTGAAGCACCCAGAGTCTTCTGCAAACACCTCAGCAATGACCAAAGTACAAATCTCCTCTAAATGCCAGTAAAACAGAACAGTTACGGACTTCATTGTGGAAATGGAATTATAAAGTTTACTGATATCAGATGAGGATTCTATAAAAGTCAATATAAGAAGTTGATTCTATGAGTTGTCTGAAAGTAATCAGTCTAAACTATTATCTGATTGGATTGGCTGATGAGCAGGCTCAATGAATCAAAGATGTACAACAGAAAACTCCACATTGACTATTGGCAAGAGGATCTTACGATAACAAAATATCTTAATAAATTGTGAATTCCCGGATCATTTTCTGTTTTTATGTTATCAGTCCAGATGATAAAAATAGAACTGAGAAACAGTATACTTAAAAAAAAAAAAATCACAAAAATAAATTAGGAGTTAAAGCAAAAGGAGATTTGTGTGAAATAAAAGGATTAATAAAACATTTTAAAATCTAGGGCTTTCATTATGTCTGTGGGGAACTTTTCCACTGAGGTAATTTTAAATGAAGGCCACAATTTAAAACTGGGCAAGAAATATTTTGCTGTGCTAATAGTAATTAGCTGATAGAGTAATTTGAAATTCCAGGTGAAAAAAGAGTGAAAAGCATCTTCTCTTTTGCAATACTATGGTAATTCTTATGGATTATTTCAATAGACAGCATAACCCCCCTTTGAATAATGAAAAAGGTTATTTGCCATTATTCAAATAATGATTCCATCATCATGGAATTGATTCCCAGATTAAACCATGTGATTATAGCCTAAAATTATTATAGTTAGATATTCCTTGACATGAAGAGAGGTATAGGACAGTAGCATTATCACTCAGTGGACCTGACATGAAAAACAAAATTAACAAAGGCATTGTTTTATTAGGAGGGACTTGGGAATCTCACTGTTTCATGATAACTGAATTGAATTAGCTGGCCACCTTCTAGGCAAACTGGACCAGAGGCGACAGCAGACAGTGTTGAGTACCTGCTCCAGAGCTCTTCACCCTCCTTCCTCCTTCCTAATAGAATTCTGGCTTGGTTCACCCTCCTTGGAGCGGTCACATGCTTCAAGGCAACTTGGCCTCTCCCTCTCCCGGTCTCAGGTGGCAAACCCTGACTGGACACGCTAAATTCTGTTCTTTCTAATTCATGGCATGCACCATACAACTCCAGTCAATGAAATAGGAGGGAAAGCCTTCTCTCCTTTTCTGGAAGGAAGGAAGGAAAGTCTTTTGGGGAGTCCATGAGAAAGATTTCTTTGCTCTTAGAAGAGAAAAAAAGAATTTTGCTCCTGAATTTTGCCTCTGCAGTGTTGTCTGCGTACAACACTCAGAACTGTGGCAGCTGTCGTAGATAGATGAATAAAACAAGACTAAACCTGAAGACAGTGGAATGGGAAATGGGGAAAAAGCTTGGCCCCCGATGATCTTGGAGATGTAAAATCACGCAATCTTAAGACATTTCTCAGGACATCTTGCTACGTGAGAAAATACATTTTTCTTAAGACTTAAGCTACTTTTAGTGAGGTCTTCTTCATTGCTGCCAAGAACCCTAAATGACAGAGAGGCAAAGTTTGGTCTGGTGCTTCTCTGTACCTTTTCTGAGCCCTTGGACTGTGCTTCCTTCTCTCTGTTCCCCTTCCCAAACATTTCTACTCACAATCTTCAACAACCACTTTCAGAAAATGATCCAATTAATTGATTCACACGACACCGTACCTGTCTGATGAAATAAAGTATTCTGTCTCCAAAGGGTATTTGCATATACAAGATAGAGGAAGACCTCTCTGGCTATGAAATTTTAGATCACAGAGCTGGGAAAGGCAGTACTTGTTTTGGGAAGGGACCCCTTTTGGGTGCCTCTGAAATGATTCTGTATATGAAATTGCCTAGTGGAAGAGCCTGCTCTGGACAAAAGTGTCAAAATCTGAAATATTTTCAAGGGGAAAAATACCACTCCATAAGCAATGCAAGAATAAGGCTGCTCTGTTCTTTACTTATGTATCCCCAAGGCCCTAGGGTAGGGCTGTGCCGTATGGATGGTCCGTGTCTGCTTCTGGAATGCCTTTCCATTCAGTTTTCAGAAGAGAGAATTATAATAATGAAATCCCAAATAATCATTCTTACTCAGGGGCACAAATACAATCTAATTTTCCAGGGTGCTCACAGAGAAGAATTTTCTGTTGTTTACACTGTGGTTTGTGAGTAATTTGCATTTTCTAGAGGTTAGAGCTTCATCTACCATCATTCCCATGTCACCTTGGTATCTTCCCAACCAAATCTAATAACACCATGGAGGTTTTATTGATTCTGCAAATTTCAAAATCTGATGGATAAGTTTTAAGACACATAAACCGTGGAATTGGAACTGATCTAGCATCATGGATATTGCTCTGCTCAGTTTTGGGAAGTCACGTGTTGGGGTTAAAAAAAAAAAGGAGGGAGAATATTTCTAAGAAACATCCCTTAAAAACCGGGAACTAACTGCATTCATGTTCAGTATTGGATACAAATTCCAAATTTGCATGTGCTCCCCTCTTTTCCTTTTCCTACAGTAATAGCTAGAGTGGGTTGGAATCCTGCTTCTAAAACCTTATTTTTCATTTTTTCCTTGACACCAGTGTAACATCAATGTGTTTTACTATTTATGTAAGATATATAAAATCACTGACTTATGTATATATGTTTTTATATATACGTGAAATCACTAACATGTTAACATGTTACCATGCTAACAAATTAAAGTTAAAATGATCCTTACCTGGTTCTGCCATGGATCGAGGTTCTAAAAGAAAAAAAAAATTAAAAGATTCTAAGCATTTCTTTCACCAAGAGGCCATATTTTCATCAGAAGCTTCCTATAGAATTTCAGTCTCTTGTAAAATCATGAGTGATTTGATAAAGTTAATCTCTAAGTGTGGAGGTAAAGCACCAACGACCTCGACGGGGACAGGACAGTTGTCACAGAAGGGCAGCAAGCGAGTTGCTAACCAGATGTTGCCATATCTCGGGATACACCTGGATTCCACTTGGACACACAAAGCCTTAGGTGAGGAAAATTGACTGAGTTAGGGATTCAGGGACAGCTTGCTTTTACTAGTACCCTTTCAGCTGTACCTGAAACAAAGTTTGTGCAGACTAAGACTCATTCTTGGCAAGGGTTCTCACATCCTAATAAAATGTAGACTCTACCCCTTGCTCTAAAGTTTCTAGATCTGATTAGTTGATTCACACTACACTGTACCTGCCTGATAAAATATTCTGTCTCCAGGGACGCCTGGGTGGCTCAGTTGGTTGGGCAGCTGCCTTCGGCTCGGGTCATGATCCCAGGGTCCTGGGATCGAGTCCCGCGTCGGGCTCCTTGCTCTGCAGGGAGCCTGCTTCTCCCTCTACCACTCTGTCTGCCTGTGCTCTCTCTCTCTCTCTCTCTCTCTGACAAATAAATAAATAAAATCTTAAAAAAAAAAAAAATTCTGTCTCCAAAGGGTATTTGCATATACAAGATGGAGGAAGAACTCTCTGGCTATGAAGTGTTTTCATAGTCAGAGAGCCTCAGGGTAGATAACAAAGGAGCAGATTTTTTTTTTAAGATTTTATTTATTTATTTGACAGACAGAGATCACAAGTAGGCAGAGAGGTAGGCACAGAGAGAGAGGAAACAGGCTCTCCGCCGAGCAGAGAGCTTGATGTGGGACTCGATCCCAGGACCCCAGGACCATGACCTGAGCCAAAGGCAGAGGCTTCAACCCACTGAGCCACCCAGGTTCCCAGAAGCAGATTCTTTATCTTAAAATTCTCTGACATTCCTGGAAGTGCCTTCATGGTACTGAATACAGAATAGAGGTGTTCAATGGCAGGCATTCAGTAAGAGTTGTGGAACTTAGTTACAACCTTCCACACTGCTAGAACTACTCAAGTTTTTTTTCTCAAGTTTAAATAGTATTCAGATTATGTTATTGTTGCTGCTACTGTTAAAACCTGATAGCAGTTTGACTCATATATCAGTGATAAGCAGAGACAAATTAACAACAACAACAAAAAAATTACAATGTATTTTATGACCGAAATGGGTCAAGGTGAAAGTAATACATGATAAGAAAAAGAAGAATTGACCCCTTGAATATATAAATAATTCTTACAGTAAAAAAGAAAAAATCTTCAGTATGAAAATGAGCAAAGGATGTGAACAGGTAATTTAGAAATAAGGAAATACAAAGACCCAATAAACATGAAAAAAATTCCACCCCCCCATTTGCTTAGTGAAGTACAGATTAAAACAAGCGTTCCAATTTTGGACCTATAAAATTAGTGAAAATTTTAAAAATCTTTCATATCTTTTATTAGTGAAGGTAGGAGTAAAGGGCAGTCCCATGCACTGGTGGTTTTAATAAAATATAATTAGAACAACATGTGTTCCCCCTCATTTGGGATAGTCCTGTTTTATTCCTGGGATCTCTGTGTAATTATTAATGGCAATCTCTTTCACTCCCAAAGTCCCAAAATGTCCCCAATTAGATGATCAATTATGTGATTATCCTCAATTTAGTTGAAACTTTTGGGCTGGCATTTTGGCAATATATATTGAAAGCATAAAAATTGGTGAATTTATAGTAGCAATCCTAGTGCTCTTTATCCTTTTTTTTCTTTGAGAATTTATTTTTAAGTAATCCCTACACTCAGTGTGGGGCTCCAATCCACAACCTTGAGATCAAGAGTCATATACTCTACTGACTGAGCCACCCAGGCACCTCTGATACTCTTTATCCTGTAGATATTCACAAATTATTTTTCTTTTATGTGCATTGAAGCAATTTACAAAAGTAAGAATCTGTGAACAATTGAAATATTCAATAATAGGAGATTAAATAAACATAAAGTTGATTGTATTGATTTGTTTTTAAAGTATTTATTAACACGAAAAGATGTTCATGACCTGCTGAGTAAAAAAATCAATTTACAAAAAAGTGTTAGATTTATTTTTATATTTGAAAAATATTCATGGAGAAATTTTTGGAGACTAGACAACACAGTATTATTAGGCTTTAGTTTGGAGCATTATGAATATAAGTAATTTTTAAATTCTTTTAATTATATTTTTATTACTTTTTTATTTTTTATTAATTTTTTATTAATTTTAACTTGGTTGTTAAAAGTTACAGAAATAAATGAATACAATATATTTATAAAAATGAACTATCAGAAAAATAACTTTAAAGCATCAACTTACTTTTCTGTAAAATTCTGAAATCTGGAGAATCTTCTATCAAGGTCCCTTCTCTATACCACTCAACTTTAGGAGATGGAGCTCCTTTTACTCTGCATTCAAAGACCACCAGCTGACCTTCAGAGGCTGATAAATTCTGTAACATCTGTAATGAGAAGAATATTGTTAGAACCTAGAAGTATACATTTTTGGAATTTAGTTCCAGTGCCAAATTTTAGAAAAAGATAGTATCGTCTTCATATTTGGATTCTCTCCAAATCTTCTACATCTTCAGTGGTTTCAATTCTGTGGATTATTTTTGAAGATAGAATCATCTGAGCCCATATGAAGCTTTTCCCTCACGATCGTCTTCTTTTTCTTCTCCGTTGCAGTGCCAGACAACTTTATTAAATACTAGGTGACACATTGGAAGTTTTGGAAAAATCCTGGCTTTTGGTAAAGTACTTCTGTTCTTAAATGCCCAAGTAGAGTTTAGTTTCCAGAAACAATAACAATTTAAGAAATCTGTGAGAGGATTTATGAGGCATCGTCAATAGAGTAATGTATTTCTCCACATAAGACCGTCACTGTTGGTGAGGTGGAACATCCCTGTGTCTCAAGTAACTGACTCCATTTTCCTGGCTTTGTGTTATTAACAAATATTCCTGGAAATTGACTTTTGTTTTGTTTTCTTGTTTTCTTTATGTGCTTTTTAAAGTATAGCTTCAATGATCTCTTGAGGGATATAAACAATGACAATCTCTATAAAATCACACAAATAGAGTCTGATGTCATGGTACAATATGTTGTAATTTTGTGAAAGCATCATTAAATGTTTTTGTGCACATCCATGAAAAAAGGTTTATAAAACCACTTGGCTTTTGTTTGTTTGTTTCTTGAAAGTGCAGAGCCCAACGTGGGGCTTGAACTCTCGATCCTGAGATCAAGATCTGTGATGAGATCTAGAGTCGGACTCTTAACTCACTGAGCGACCCAGATGCCCCTACAAAACCATTTTGAACTGTATCATATCAATATATTCTATAATAGAATCTACCAGAAAATGGCACTCACAGTTTCCATTCACAGCCAGTCTTTCACTCATGATTTGTGAGCTTAAAGGCACACATTCTGGGGCACTTGGGTGGCTTTTTTTGGGTGGCCTTTGGCTCAGTTCATGATCCCAGCGGGGAGCCTGCTTCCTTCCCACTGCTTGTGCCCTCCACCTCTCTCTCTTTCTCTCTAATAAATAAAAATCTTTAAAAAAAAAAGTCACACATTCTTTTGTGTAGTTGGAACTTCATTTGACTTGAGAAAGAGAGAAAGACGGAGGGAAAGAGAGAGATAAAGGGTACCAGTAGGGGAGGGGGAGAGGGGGAATAGAGGGAGAGAGAGAATTTCTCAAGCCGACTCCAAGCTAAGCATGGAGTCTGAGGCAGGGTTCGAACCTAGGATTGTGAGATCACTACCTGAGACTAAGCCAAGAGTCCAATGCTTAACCTGCTGAGCAGCCCAGGTGCCTCTTGTACTTTATTTGATTATGAAATTCTTCTTTGGCATGTGTGTGGGCATATTACTGTTTTTTTCATATTATTGTTTTTAATGTTGGAGCAAACATTATAAACATGGAAAGATTATGATTAACTTCCTCTACAAGCTCTATTAGTAACAAATGCTGCAAGGCTTTCTATTATAACTATTTGGAGAACTGCATTAGGGAAATATTGGCTTCTGCATCAGAGAAAGGGAAAGCTGGTATTTAGCTACTTTTTTGCTTTTGTCATTCACGTTTTATAAATATTCTGTGATTATTTATAGGTATTTTTTGAACAATGTATGATAGTATGTTCATGGCATGGCCCCATCATATTTATGACATTTGTCTAAGGAATATAGGGGTGGGGATAACCACACAGCCTTAGCTATGTATAGTAGATGACTTTTACCTCAGAGGTGTGTAAGTTGATATTGGGAAAGCCAGGGGGCGCTGTAGTTCAACATTAGTGTTCAGTTCTTTTGCACTCCCAAATTTGTTTGCTGAAGTAATCCAAGGTGAGATTTGTACAGAGGGGTCTCTGAATTAATAAGGAACTATTGATAAACAAAAACAATAACAGCCCTCTCCCCCAAAACACCTTCTTATTCTTTATCTACCCCAAACAACAACTTCTAGTGACAAGAAAGGAATGTTCTTAGTAAGCAGAGAACATCAAGGAGTCTTGGGTACTCCTGGCAAGCTGGTGGATATGCCCTCCACCTTGACATCTGATCAAATTCTGTGTAACATGGAAGCTTTGAGGCTGAGTGAAAATTTTAACGGCAGTCAGACATCTCCCTGGGATTCATACGAGATAGAGTTTCATTCCTTGAGGCAAACAAATTAGAAAAACAGACCAAGGGGAAAAAAGTGGTGGTGGTGGAAGAAGGGATTGAATAAATTAAATATGGCATCCTTTTTAAGTGGATGTAAGAAGAAAGAGGTCACTCTATATGTTCTGACATGGCTTGCAGTTCAGATACATCAGCCAATTCTCAATCTGCAGAGGTTACACCAAAAGAATATACTTGAGAGAATATGTTGATCACAGTTGAGACCAACATTAATTGGTTGTAATTGCTCACTTGACATCGAAGGTCAAGACCTGTGTTCTATTTGAGAGTCCAGCCAAGATCCTCAGATACTACATTAATATACCTGCTAAGTGTCTGTGATATGAGATGCAAACTCATTCTATTTGATACATCATCAATACTCAGTAGGAGAGGTGCCAAGGGTCATCTTACAAGCCACTCAAAAAAAGTTTTTGAAAGTCACAGTTTGAAGGACGATGATAGTTGTTACTGTTGAAGACCGCTTTTCTACAAAAGTCTCATGAGAAGGAATTGACTCACACCAGGGTCCAAACCAATCACACCATTTGAACATAGTGCAGGTGGTGCGATATTCAACAGGCGAGTAGGTCTTAGGGTGTTATTAATGGCATAATGTCACCAGACCTGATAAGAATCATTTTGACTCCACTGAAAATGAATAAGATAAATGAAACATTCCTCAACTAACAAAGATTTAATTAGTCTAAACTAGGAATTATGGATTTGGACTAAAGTTCTTAAACTGAGGGTTTACAACCTCCTGAGGTAAACAGTATCCAAAGGGCAAATCTGTCTTGTGTTCACCACTGATAACCTGGAAAGACATTCTTTGTAGGGTGATTTGACAGCACAAAGCCTTGAGAAGCATTTCTTCCATAACCATTTGATATGGGACTTTTTTTTTTCTCTATTCCTCCTAAAGATACTCTGAAGCCACAAAACAATGAAAGCAATAATTCTTTATTTAGTTGAAATGGAAGTTATTCACCACTGGATCAATATCACTACGTGCCAGGTACTGTGCCAGGTGCTTTAAATGTGAGCTGAAAGGAGATAGTTTGTGCTTAGATTTATACCCAAAAATATAATATAAGGATAACCTTGAGAAAGGACATCTCCCTTATTGGTTAAAAGATAACAGCTATAAGGTTCATACTGTTATTTTATTCTTTTTTTTTAAAGATTTTATTTATTATTTGACGGAGAGAGACAATAAGAGAGGGAACACAGGCAGGGGTAGTGGGAGAGGGAGAAGCAGGCTTCCCACTGAAAAATGAGCCCAGTGTAAGGGCTCGATCCCAGAACCTTGGGATCATGACCTGAGCCGAAGGCAGATGTTTAACTGACTGAGCCACCCAGATGCTCCCCTGATTTTTTTTAAAGAGTTGGTCGGGGGGATACAGGTGGGAGGGAGAGGAAATCTAAAGCAGGCTCCACACCCAGTGTGAGCCCCACACAGGGTCTAATCTCACAACCCTGAGATCATGACCTGAGCCAAAATCAAGAGTTGGATGCCTAGCTGACTGAGCCACCCAGGTACCCCAGTTTATTCCTTTTTTAATCCAGTTGATATTTGTGTACCTTGGGAGAGAGAGGCTGCAAGTGAACGTGTATAGTGCTTTAGGCTGGAGTTGGTTCAAAGGAGTTTTTATGGATAAAGAACTGTTTGACGGAAGATCTTTTTACCCCTTGGTGGGCGCAGGTGCCCAGAGCAACAGTTAAGCCAGAAAGTTTCTGGCATTGTTGGGCTGGGGAGGGTTGGGGGGGGCATGTAATATTTAGAAATCTGGATCCGGCCACTGGCCCAGTTATTTCAGGGTTTTCCTGCTTCTGCTATTATATAATGAGGTGCTCTTCAAATTCTCACTTCCCCTGCCCCCTTGCACTCTTCAAATTACTGCTGAAGCAGCTGGAGCCAGGGCGGCTGGAGCCTTGAAAGCTGGCCAGGGCAGCTGCTGCCGGACTGGGAGCAGCGGGAGCAGTTAAGATTCTAATCTAATTTGATCATCTACCTCCCTTCGCACTCAAGAAGTGTGAGCTCTGTTTTCTCCCCCATAAATAGAGTGAGAGTGCTTTTGATACTGTATACAAGATGGAGGATAGTCTATTTCCATAAAATATTTTAAAAATATAGGCATCACCTAGAAGTAGAGCAGTGAACCAGATATGGTAGTCTCTCAAGCTACCACTGTTTTGCTGGGCAGCCCTCCTTTTCATTTCAACCTTCTTTAAAAAGAAGATAATGCTAGTACTTCCCTATCACCAAAGGAGGCACAAGGAGTTAAATAAAACTCCACTCTCTAATTTTTGCTTTAGAAAAATAGCTTCTTGCCATTACTGGCAAAGAAATGCTTTGTTGGGCAGTATAGAAAATCAATCATAGGCGTTGGAATGCCAGAAGTCCCTAAAGAAGTAAATACAGCAGGAATAACCCAAACAAACGGATGCGTATGATCAGCTCTCATGGCTCATGCCATGTGATTACCATCATCGGTGGCCCTGACTCAGAAATTTTCTGACACTGGCAGTGACTATGACCTCAATTCTGCCCTCACTGGTGGAAACTAACGCAAGCACACCGTTGCTGATAAGTCGGTCTGGAATCTGAGCCACAGCCAATCCTATCCCTGTGCCCTACCTCTGAGCAATCCTGAGCCCATTTATGGAGGCAAAAGCACATCTCCTGAGGGCTGAGAAAGCCTATTCAGAGTTTGGGTCTTTGTATCAAGGACTGTTTTCCTAATGTTTTTGGAGATTTATCTAACAAACGCCATACACGGATGGTCCCCGACTTTATATTATTCAACTTACAATTTTTCAAATTTACGATGATGCCCAAGGGATACACATTCAGCAGAAACTGCAAAAGATTTTGAATTTTTTTTTTTTATCTTTTCCTGGCCTAGCGATATGCCGTGTGCTCCTCTCTTGTGATGACAGATAGGAGGGCTGAGTGGCAGCCTCCCGTCAGCCATGCCATCACGAAGGCAAACAACTGATACCCTGACAACCATTCTGCAAGCATCCAACCTTTCTGTTTTTCACTTTCAGTACAGTATTCAACAAATTCTACAAGATATTCAACATCTTACTGTAGAATAGGCTTTCTATTGATGATTTTGCCCAGTTGCAGGCTGATGTAAGTGTTCTGAGTATGTTTAAAGTAGGCTAGGCAAAGCTAGGTGTACTCAATGCATTTGGACCTATGATATTCTCAAGTTTTACTAGGTTTACTGGGATGTAACTAATGAGTAATTTATTTTCCCATTTTTATTTGTCAAAGCAAATATGAATCTGCCCATGAGAGTATCTAATTGCAAGGAGGTATCAGAGTCACCACACAAAAGCCCCTAAGCCTGTTCATTTAACCAGCCCATGAAAATTAAATGTAAAGAAGTGCTAAAGTCCTATTGGATTTATTGGAATAATATGGCTTTGGACCTACTGTTTCCTTCATGGACTTCCATCTAGATATTGGAGATAACCTTCAAGGTGCTTGTGTGTGTGCAAACAGCTTCATTAGTGTGCTAATTGTTGTTCCAAAGGTATGTACCAGGTGATTCAGATGCAGGGAAGACAGAACACCTGAGAAGATTTGAAAGTGAGCAGGAGACAAGGACACCTGTCTGGTGTCTGGCTAGGCAAGTGGTGGTGAGGAAGAGGAGAGAGGACACTTAAGCTGGCACTGGGTATAAATTATTCTGTGGTTTAGTTGCTTTTGAAGAGTCAGCACTGTCTCTAGGGTGTGACGAAAGGGCATGAAAAATTAAAACGTCCCGATTTGGGGTGCGTGGGTGGCTCAGTCAGTTAACCGTCTGCCTTTGGCTCAGGTCTTGATCTCAGGGTCCTGGGATTGGGCCCGTGTTGGGCTCCCTGCTCAGCAGAGAGTCTGCATCTCCCTCTTCTCCTGCCCCTCTCCCCTCTTCATGCTCTCTTGCTCTCTCTCAAATAAATAAATAAAATCTTCTTTAAAAGTCCAGATTCTGTGGCACATAAGCTCTGTTTTAAGGCTAGGTGACTTAGAATTGAAATAAGAGATAATTAGAGGTAGCTCTGTTGGCTGTATTACACACATGTGCATGCCCATATGTCTGCATGTGCGCGCACACACACACACACATACACATCTATACAAAGGTCTACTTATAACTCTTCTTCAAAATCTTGTATTCTCTAAGTCACAGATATGTTGCTTTCCTACCTCAAGTCTTTGAAAATAGTAAGGCTGAAATTCCAAAAACAGATTACAAGAAATGAACCTGATACATGGCGAGGCATCTTGCTTCACATAAGAATGTCTGCCCAACTGATATGGATATGGATAAACGTCACTCTAGACCCTGCTTGACTTTGGAAAACCATCTGAGATGAGGTGATACAATAGAACTTTCCTAAAACTGATGTTTCCGTGGAAGTTGTGCATTTAGCTCTTTCTTCGGGGTTCATACTCTTTGGAAAATATGCCATTTTTGCCATTTTGCTCTAAACCATGATTTCTCAGCCTCAAGACAATTGATAATTTGGGCTGGATGATTCTTTATTGTGGGAGGTGTAGAAGCTGCTTTTAGGCCACAGGCTTGAGCAATGGTTGAAGGGCCTACCTAGCTGAATGCAAACAGGCTCATTAAACCATAGTTCCTAACTGACCAATGGGCTCCTTACTACCTGGCATACTTCCTAAGATTACCAAAAAAGGGAAAATTCCATACATCTCCATACACCCTCACTCCACCCTAAAACTATAGCTCCTTACCACTGCCTCGTAGACAGTCTCTTCTTTGCTGTCCTGCCCGCAGCTCCCTTGCAGGATAGTCAATTAACTTCCATCTCCTTTGCTCAGCCTTGGCTGAATTTTTTTTACCACACACACCCACTGGCCCCCACCCAATCAGGACACCCCCAAAGAGGCTGTCATTGTGTACATCACAGGAGGGTTAGCAGCATCTCTGGATGCCAACAGCATGATCTCCTGGTGGTGACCACCAACAATATCCACAAACATTGCAAACGTTTCCTGTGGGGCAAAGTTAACTCTGATTGAGAACCACTGCTCTAAACTAAAGCATACTTCTGACAGGACAAAATCTCTTTGGGCCTCCCTTTGGCATTCATATAAACAATAAGCTGTAAATCCAGGTATGGATTTCCTCCATGTGGTCTTCATAACACCAAAAAAAACGTGACTCAATTTTCACCTTTAAATTTATTGTCTCGGGCAATACATAAACAAAGCGTGTTATCTAAAGGTAGGAATAATAGACTGGGAATTGGGAGAACTTGTTTCTAGTCCTGATTCTGCCACTAACTCGCTTTCTGACCTTGGATAAACTGCCTCGAGTCCCTGGCCTCCCTTGTGTTTTCATTTGTAAATGAAGTGCTTGAGTAAATTTTCCAGTTCTGAATACAAAGATTGTGAGACTCAAAATTTGATGCCACCACAATAGTTGATATGGTGGACTAGAAGAAGAAAGTTCTTTGTCCTCGAGTGTTCCTTTATGTTAAGCCTCCTAAGATTATTTAACTCCATCGCCTTAAACACTAGAGACATGTGCCTGCAACCTGATTCTTCTGAAAGTTCAGAGAAACCTTTGGAGTAGGGAGTGGCTAGAAACTTATCACCTGACCCTTAGGAGTGGCTACTTCATTTAACGGCAATAAGTTGGCCATATAGAGATCAATGTGGTGAGTGGTGGAAGACATTCCTCTCATTATGCAAACCAGTATTAAAAATCTGGGACTTGAAATGACCTGGTAACAACTACCAACCCCCCCCAAACCCTATATAGTACTTATTAAAGACCAAAATCCTGAGCTAAGTCAGTAAATCTTGGATCCTACAATTTTGTGTGGGTACTGTGCTTTGTTTAAAAGCCATGACAGAAAGAAGGAATATTTTGATTACCTTTGTAAACACAGGAGCTGCAATGATAGGTTTTCCATCCAATCCTTGCAGATAGTTGGTAGGGCTCTGACACTATTAGAAGGGAACCAACAATAGATTCATTGTCACCATGATTACTACCTAGATGATAGATAAAACAAGTCTATAGCATTTTGTATATGCAATTATTCTAAAACCAAAAGACTGACCTTTCTAAGTCTGTAAACCACAGACTTCAAATTTGATACTGAATTGATTGTATTTCTTTCTAGGTCATGGTGGTTATAAATAAGTGCTGTCTATCCCCACAGCCTCAACATACAGAGAGAACTCTACTGGTTATAATAAACCCTAAACCCCTGAGGAAGTTCCATAAAACCTGAGTCTCCACATACCACAGCTTGAAAACTCCTGGGTTAGAACTAAAATGTGACCCCTCTACATTATTAAATGGATTAAATAAGAAACTCTGTTTGAACTTTTTTAAAGTTGCAGATTAATATGTTTACTCATACATAAATAAATATATCAATAACATATTACAAATATACTTAGATTAGTATGACTTCATATTTTAAAAATATTATATATATTCATATACATGCACAGAAAATGCCTAGAACTATCTGCTAGCAACTATTAACAAAAGGTACCTCTGAGGAGTTGGGGCATGGGAGTAATATCTTGACCAAGGTTTTTATTGAATATACTTAATATCTTTTGAATGTTTTTACAATATGCATGCATTATAATCATCATCATTATCACAATCATCATCATTAACTTGAAGGATGAGAGCATTAAATGCTTTCTAAAAAAATCATTTCCTGGTTTTTGTATCTTAGGAAGTAGAATTATTTGCAGCTCCATGAAACTGAGTTTCATGAGATAGTATCCTGCCTGGGCCAGTGTGAGAGCTGGCAGCTCTTTGTATACCTAACCAATGCCCTTCATTAAACTGGAATATCAAGACTACTTAGTAAAGAACTACTTTTCCCGTGAAATCTGCCTATGAAGCTAGAGAATATGTTCTCACAACAATAAGAAACGCCGTTATCATGATCGTGGAAGTGTGTTGCCCAAAGTCATGAAGTTGCCACAGAGGAGAATACAATCATGTCGTACAAGATGGCCATGGTCACAGTGCCTGCTCATCACAGTCCATGGCACCTGTGTTTCACTTAGACTCTATACCTGTTGGATGGCTGACACCCTGGGCTGGGCCACCACATGCTGGGCTTGGGGTGCTGCTGAAGGAATGGCTGCAGAAGTAGTGGGAGTAGATGATACTTCTTTTGGCTTCTGGATTCTGAGAAATGATTAAAATATAGATTTTAAAACAGACCTGTCATTGTTTTTGAAAATGCTTTCAGAAAAGCTAGTAATGTCATCACTTCTTGCAAGTTAGATGTACTAAAAATTTTTGTTCAACAATATTCAACAAATGCTTACACTTTTTTAATATACACTTTAAAAAATATATTTTTATTTATTTATCTGAGAAAGTGCACAGGAAGGGTAAGAGAGAGAGTGAGAGGGAGAGGGAGAAGCAGACTTCCTGCTGAGCAGAGAGCTGGATGCAAGACTCCATCCTAGGAGCGCAAGATCACGACCTGAGCCAAAGGCAGAAGCTTAACCAACTGAGACACCCAGGTGCCCCTTTTTACTATACATGTTGATAGGCAATGTCAACAGGAAGATGATAAGTTGCCACTACTGTCCTTGAGTTACTTGCCCTCAGCTGGGGACTTAAGAATATTCATAACTAACGGAGATTCAAGCAAGACAATTGCAGAAGATAATTACTTGAGATTTTTGTTGTCGTTCTATTTTCCTCTGTATTTTCCCTCCCCCTTCCATTCCAAGTAAAAGTCCAGGTTTCATAAACATTTGCTTCTGGCATTTTGGCGTGGCATAAAGCAGAAGTAGCCTGAGTCAACAAGCTCAAGTTTACGCGAATTAAATTAAATTAAAAAGATTATTTGAAGGGCAAGAGAGCCAGGAAGTAGTCACAAGAAGACTGTGGAAGGGAGATTATTTTAGTTTTGCTGTGAAGAAGAGAGACGTCTGAGGATCTTGTCAGAGAGCCTGACAAGAGGGAGAACCAGAGTTCAGAGGGGATGGCAACCCCTCTAATTAAAAGGCTCCCAGTCTTACTAAAGATATCAGTCCCCCAGCATGTCAGGAGGCAACAAAGCGATGGACTTGAAGGGACCTTGAGGTCTGGGAGATTAAGACTCCCTCCCATATCCCATAGGGATAGATGACTGATGACAAGATGGGCTTCACTTTTGTCCAGTTGTTACCTCCCTCTTCCTCAGCTCCTTTATCTCTAAAATGTAGAAAAAATAATTCTTACTTCAGAGGTTTTTTGTGAGGGTTAAAAAAGGTAATTCATGTAAGATGATTAGAACAGTGTTTAATATCAAACACAATGTCTATGTCTATTTATATATCTATTGTCTTTGTACATCTGTGGAGGAGGAAAGGGATGGCCAATAATGAGTGATTGAATTTTTTTCCAGCCTAGAAGGGTGGGGTCTCAGCAACAGAATTATGTAGTGATACAGAGGCTATCTGTGCCCCCAAAGCATCCATCTTCTTCTTCAACAATAATAGAATTCCTGATTTCTTTATATGGCTATTCTAAATAAAGACTGCATTTCTTGACCTTTATTAATCTAGGTATGGCCACATGACTACTCTGTAGTCATGGGATATGAAGGATAGTGATGTATGTTGATCTAAGGGAAATGACCTTAAGAAGGGGGTGGGGAATACCCTTCATTACTTGCAATCTAAGACTAAGATGGGGCTATCCCTTAGGAATGAAATGAAGCTGGAAGCCACTGGAACCCAGTGAAATGTAGAGCCATTCTACCAGCCAAATCCATATGTTTATGTGAATGAGAAATAAATATCTCTCTTATTTACATTACTGTCATTTGGGCTATGTATTACACAGAACTGAAGCTAAATCCTAACTACCAAAAGTAAATTTAAAGAAAATAATCAACCAAGATATTTCTTACTTATTCAAGTTTGTATATCAAAATTCCTACCCATGAGGCTTGTAAACCATGTTATGAGAGACTTGAGGAAGAAGTTAGGAATGTGCGGTGGAGGAAGAGTTTATTAGAGAACTTGACTGTGTCTTGAAGGATACATAGTTTTCCAGGCAGAGGGGATAGGGCATTCCTAGCAAAGTGACGACTTGAACAAAGGGATGAACATAAACTATACATTGTTTGAATGAGACAGGAGCAGTGTAGGGAACCTGAGGTGGCAGAAAGGAGGAGGAAGCAGGAAAGCCTGGTTGATACTCTACTCAATAGGCTTTGTATGTCATGTTAACTTTTTTTAATGTTGTTCATGTTGTGTTTGTTTGTTTGTTTGTTTGAGATTTTATTTACTTATTTGACAGAGAGAGAGGGAATACAAGCAGGGGGAGCAGCAGGCAAAAGGAGAAGGAGAAGCAGGCTCCCTGCTGAACAAGGAGCCCAGTGCAATATGGGTTCATCCGAGGACCCTGGGACCATGGTCTGAGCTGAAGGCAGACATTTAACTGACTGAGCCATCCAGGCGCCCCTTGTGCTTGGTTTTTATTTTCTCATTGATAATACATTTTTTTTTAAAGTTAGGGAAATGAGAGGATCAGAATTATCTTTTAGAAAATGTCTGGTTGTAGTTTGGAGGCCATGAGAGGGAGAAAAGGGCTGGAGCAACCATAAGGAGGTGGCTGGCATAAAGAGGCAGGAAAGAAGGAGGAATTGACCAAAAGCCACGAGAACAATAAGGAAGAGTTAAAAAGGAGAAGTCATTTACTCTGGTTATGAACTTTCATATCTGTGAAAAAACTAAAAGCAAATTATTATTTCTATTCCAAGGCAAGCATACACAAAGATATTTTAAAGACTAAGACATGGGGCACCTGGGTAGCTCAGTGGGTTAAAGCCTCTGCCTTCGGCTCAGGTCATGATCCCAGGGTCCTGGGATTGAGCCCCACATCGGGCTCTTTGCTTGGGGGGGAGCCTGCTTCCTCCTCTCTCTCTCTGCCTGCCTCTCTGCCTACTTGTGATCTCTGTCTGTCAAATAAATAAATAAATGAAATCTTTAAAAAAAAACAAAAAAAAAAAAACAAAAAAAAAAAAACTAAGACATGATCTCTGCCCTGAAGGAGCTTCCCCTCTGCAGGGGAGGACAGAATTTGCAAACACAAGTCAACAACTCTAACCAGTCTTCCAAATGTTGTTTGTTTCAGGTAATCTCAGAGAATGGAATTTGCATCCGTTTCAGGTCCCATGCCTTCTGTCTACAGTTTCCTCTGCCTGAAAATGCTCTTTCCTTCCTTGTTTGGGGGTGTCCACCTACTGCTCTTTTAAGACTCAGCTCAAGGTCACCAACTCTGTGAAGCCTTTCCGGACCCTTCCCAACCAATAAAGAGACCTTTGTGCCAAGTCCAGTACACCCTGCCCATGGTTATATCATTACACGTTATTACTCTTGCTTTCTATATGCTTGGTATACATCTCTTGCTATATTTGCTATGTATTTCCCTCTAGTAGACTGTGAACCTCTCAAAAGTAGGAAGCATCTGATTTTTCTTACTACACATTGTGTCTAATGAAGTGCCTGGTGTAGAGTAGGTGCTTAACTGATGGTTGGGAAAGTAAAGAATGGATAGATATAACTTTGTTCAGTACTAAGTATAATTGTTTAACAAAAAGGTTATGACTTACTTACATCACTCACATATATAATTTAAGGTAACCAGGTTTTGTGTCTTTATGAATGCTAATATCTAGTCACAAAACATGAATTTTTTTTGAATCACTGGACTATTTGCTTTTTACTCTGTAGATATAAGTATGATATAGCATGATGATATAAGTATGATGACAGGTGATGCCTCATTTTTAACATATTGGCAATATTAAAATTCTTCTTCTAGGAAAGACTTAAAGCAAAAGAAGTAGAGTTCTCTAAATCCACTCAATATTTACTTTTTGAGGCCAGACCCTGGAGCCACCCTTTTCAAGTTCTACTAAACCAAATAGCAACTTTCTCAGGATCTGAGGATGCTAAAGCCATAAGATAGAAAATTAGAATTACCGATTCATCTCTTCCTTGTTACGGTCCCCTTCTGAGTCAGAAGAAGAAACCCCTGGAAAAGTAAAAACAAGACATGAAATCTTAAAGACGATAATTTCTTAAACAAGTTCCTAGGCACTTCAGACCTAGATATGAACTCAGTTGATTTCCTACACTAACACCCAATTTGACAGATGAGATACAGATCCTATGTAGTTGAAGGACTTGTTCAAGGTCACATGGCCAGTTAGTGACAGAGTTCAAATTAACCGGTCTAAATGTCAAATGTACTTATATATAAAACACCTGCTTATGCCTCTAACAGAGCCATTTTTGCAGACCTTTTATGCTGTCCATAAATCCTCTTGCTTTTGGCCTACACAGATTAAATAAAAGGAGGGATTACATTGGATTCTGAATATTGTAGGTGTAGGTGGATGCTCTTCCGCCCAACCCTAATATTAACAAGTCATACTTCATCTTGGGAGTGGGGGTGTTTGAAGCCCTGTTGCCACAAATTTAAAAAATCCAATCTCAGCACGGCTAGCAAAGCTTTGATCTCGGATTTACTTCTCAAGACAGTGAATTCCAGGAACATATAACTGAGCTAAATCTGGAGGTATTTATTATACTTAAAAAAATTTGCAGATAAAAACATACAACACGGGGCACCTGGGTGGCTCAGTGGGTTAAGCTGCTGCCTTCGAATCAGGTCATGATCTCAGGGTCCTGGGATCGAGTCCCACATCGGGCTCTCTGATCAGCAGGGAGCCTGCTTCCCTCTTTCTCTCTCTGCCTGCCTCTCTACCTACTTGTGATCTCTCTCTGTCAAATAAATAAATAAAATCTTTAAAAAAAAAAAATACAACACATATCTATCATGCATTACTCATTATTATCATTATTCATGCATCTATTCAATAAATGTTTTTCAAATATTCACTATATATTTGGTATTACATAAGGTATTAAAGATATAAAAAGGAATGAGACAGTTCCAGCTTTATAATCTAGTTGGTGAATGAGCATTTATACCAAAATAATACAATATTTAAGTGCTAAAACCAAGGCATAATAAGGTATTATAGATGATAAAAGTGCTAAAGAATAGTTCTTTATTCTTTTCTATTGTCTATTCTCTGAAAAAACTCAGAGATGAGATAAAATGGAAAAAAAATTTGGTAAATATGTAAGGAACATGAAATGATTTCTTCCCTGAAGTTAGTCATATAAGTTTGGTGCTGATGTAAATGCCTGTCCAATGCTCCCAAATGGTCTCCCTGCTTCTACCCTCGACTCCCTGAGGTATATTCTCAATCAGAAGCCAGGGTGACCTCATTAAAAGCTGTCAGATTATGTCACATTTCTGCTCAGAATCCTCTACAGCTTCCCATCTCCCTTAGAGTAAAAGCCAGAGTCCTTACAATGACCTACAAAGACCAGCATGATCTGTTTACTTGCCTCTTCCTCCCTCTACCCCATCTTGAACTTCTGACTTCATCTGTTACTTTTTTCCTTGTTTCCTCCATCCAGGCCACATTGGTTCATCTTTATACCTAAACACAGGGTCACTCCCACCTCAGGGTCAGTGTACTACTGATTTTCCATTTGGAGTAGTTTTCCCTTGAATATTATTGTGGCTTACTCCCTCCCTTCCTCCAGGTCTTCACTCATGTCACCTGGATAGTGAGGTCCTCCCTGACTACACTATCTATAGAACGACAGCCCCCATTCCCCCACCCACACACTCACGCACGTGCACACTCAAGCAAATATGCACACATATGTGTATTTCCTATCCCTTTTTATTGCTTTCTATTTCTTCTATATGTAGTGTTACATACACTGTGAGATACAGAAAATATATCTATTGGTCTCTGCCCCCAGTTCCCAGCACAGAGCTGCTAAAACTCTTATAATTTCCTAAGTCATGAGCATATCTTGTTCTAACATTTGTCTTTGAACCCCACAGAACTAAAACTCTTACAAATTTCTAAGTGATAAGAGCACAGGAGCATCTTTTGTTCTAATGAAGTGACTCTGGTTGGCTCCTAAATGGGGTCTGGTCACCAGAAAGACCAAGCCATGATTAGAAGCTTGGAATTTTCAGCACCCCCCCCCCCACCAGCCTCCTAAGAGGGGAGAAGGGCAGGAAATGGAGACAATAATTGATCATGCCTACATGAGGAAGCCTCCGTAAAATCCCAGTAGCATGGAAAGCTTCCAGGTTGGCAAATGCACCACTGCATTCACATTGGGAGAGTGACACAACCCAACTCTACAGGTACAGAAGCTCGTGCACCCAGACCACCTAAGACTTCACTCTATGTATCTCTTCATTTGGCTGTTCATCTATATTCTTTATCATATCCTTTTCCCTGAGTTCTGTGAGCCACTCTAGCAAATTAATTGAACCCAAGGAGGGGGTTGTGGAAACCTCCAATTTGTAACAAGTGAGACAGAAATTGTGGGTTATCTGGGGGCCTAATACTTGTGATTGGCATCTGAAGTGAGGTAGAAGCCATCTTGTAGAACTAAGCCTTTAGCCTGTTGGATCTAACACTATATCCAGGTAAGTGATATTAGAACTGAGTTAAATTGTAGGACACCCAACCTCACATACCACACAGAGGTTGGAATTGGTGATCAGAACCATTTTGTATACCTATCATATTATATATTTAATTTATTTATTTCATTTATTTTTTTCTCTCTCATTACAGTGCAAATTCCACCTGTCCATGATCTTTTTTCTGTTTGGCTCACTGCTATTGTCCCCACTACCTAGAAGAATGCGTGGTATAGTAGTCCTTTGATAAATATTTATTATAAATATGTCTTACTAATAAGGGCCATGATGTAAGAGTATTTTGTTTTACCTTCTATATAAATCTCAGCAGAGGTTGAATCTGTCCCATAGATGTTAGAAGCAAAGCAGGAATAGCGCCCTGTGTCTTCTTCAAAGGCTTCAGCAATGGTCAATGAGTGCAGATTTCCTGCCTGGACAATATGAATGTCTGGGGAATTTTCAAGCTCCTTTCCTTCACAGTACCACCTGCAAAGAAGGGAATATTACACATGACCAAAGTGTGAAAATTAATAACGTAAATGCTCCAGATGTTCCCTAAGAGGAAAACTGTGACAACTTAGAATCAGAACATTAAATGGTATTAATTTGATTGTAACAATAAGAAGAGTTGGCAGTATTCAAACTACATTGACACTTTATTCAAGAAATTTGAGAAATGGCTCCTATCAAGAATGATACAACTGAGTGGGGTGCCTGGGAGGCTCAGTTGGTTAAGTGCCCGACTCTTTTTTTTTTTTTTTTTTCAAAGATTTTATCTATTCATTTGACAGAGAGAGATCACAAGTAGGCAGAGAGGCAGACAGAGAGAGAGAGAGAGGAGGAAGCAGGCTCTCCACCAAGGAGAGAGCCCGATGCAGGGCTCGATCCCAGCACCCTGGGATCATGACCCAAGCCGAAGGCAGAGGCTTTAACCCTCTGAGCCACCCAGGCGCCCCAAGTGCCCGACTCTTGGTTTGGCTCAGGTCATGACCTCAAGTTTGTGAGATCAAGCCCTGAGTCAGGTTCTATGCTCAACAGGAAGTCTGTTTGTCCCTCTTGCTCTGTTTCTCCCCCTCTTCTTGTACTCTCCTTCTCTAAAATAAATAAATAAATAAAATCTTAAAAAAAAAAAAGAATGATACAACTAAAAGCATATGGATGAGGGACGCCTGGGTGGCTCAGTGGGTTAAGCCTCTACCTTCAGCTCAGGTCATGATCCCAGGGTCCTGGGATCAAGCCCCGCATCAGGCTCTCTGCTTGGCAGGGAGCCTGCTTCCCCTTCTCTCTCTGCCTCCCTTTCTGCCTACTTATGATCTCTGTCTGTTAAATAAATAAATAAAATCTTTAAAAAAAAAAAAAAAGCATATGGATGAGAAAGTAAATCCAGACAACCACAAGGAACTAGATCTTTGCAGTGGAACTTGGCTTCTCCTAAAAAGATGTACAGATTTCTATCCTATGCATTAAGTAAGTGCTCCTTTGGTTATCTGGAGACAATCTAAGGGATATTAAAAGTTCATGAGGTTGAGTGCAATCATTCCCTACTATGAAATTGCATCTGACCTACTAAATGAAAATTATTTTGTTGGATTACTTGAGTCGTCAGAGTAAGGAAGATGGGTCATATTCTTCAGTAGTGGCCCAACTTTGGCAAATAACCTAAGTATGTTTCCATAGGTTATGGTATTTTATTTTGATTCCACACACTTGAAGTTAGAAATTTTTATTATAGTTTTTTGGCCAAAAATTTACATAAAATAATACATATAATAATGTTTAGGGGTGCCTGGGTGGCTCAGCCAGTCAAGCATCCACCTCTTTATTTCGGCTTAGGTCATGATCTCAGGGTTGTGAGATAGAAACTTGCAATGGGCTCCGTGATCAGCCAGGAGCCTGCTGGAGATTTTCTTCCCTTCCATCTCCTTCTGCACCTCCCTGTTGCTCATGCACATGTGTTGTTTCTCTCCATCTCTCTCTAATAAACAAATAAATCTTTTAAAAAATAATGTTTAAAATGTGGAGGTGCATAATAAGAGAAAAAGACATCAAAACTGCACAGAAATGCAATTTCTCATGTTACATGCTAACAAAACTCTAAAAGTTTGATGAGTGTCATCTACAGTTAGTAGGAATGCAAAATGGTGCAACCCCTATGAAAGGAATATGACAATATCTGCTGAAATTACAGGCAAGTTTATCTTTGGACCCAACAATCCCACTTGCGGGAATCTCTCACACAGATCCACTTGCATGCATACAAAATGACAAATGTACATGCTATTCATTTAAACAGTGAAATATTAGAAAGAACTTGAGTGTCCAACACCAGGGGTCCTATGAAATAAACTATGGTACAGCCACATAGTGGAACACTTTGCAACTGTGGAAAGAGATTGAGAAAGATCACTATGCATCAATATGGAAAGAACCCCAAGATATATAGTTAAAATTTTAAGAGAAAGGTACAGGATAGTGAACTTGGAGTGTTTTTCTAAAATATGTGGGCTGTTAGGGATTGAATTTTCTTTTTCCAAAGGATATGTTGAAGTCCTAAATGCAAGTACTTGGGAGTATGACCTTACTTGGAAGAAGGGTCTTTGCAGACACAATCAAGTTACAGTGAAATTACTAGGATGGGTCCTAATCCAGTATGAATGGGGTTCTTTAAGAAGAGGAAAACCCTATGTGAAGACAGAGACACACAGAGGGAATGGCATGTCTTGGCAGAGGCAGGGATCTTCACAGAACCTGTTATCTGAAATCAGTTCACTTTGCTCTTGTGAGGGCCCCCACCACTGAATTGTAAAGTGTCCATGACAGGACATTATTAGTTTTATTTATCAGTGTAATCCCAACAACTACCACAGTGCCCTGACACATGGCAGACACTCAGGAAATATGTGTTGCATGTGTTGAAAGACCAAATGATAGAAAGAATTGATAGTTAATATTTTGTAAGAATTTTGGTATTAAATTCACCAAATTCTATGCCAGTTTTTGATCTGTTGTGACAGTGCTATATGTAGCTACTGAACTGGGTTTGTAAATCTCCAAGGCATAAATCTCAATAAGACCCCAAGGAGTTTACAGGGCACCTTGGTGGCTCAGTTGGCTAAGTGTCTGCCTTCAGCTCAGGCTATGATCTCAAGGACTTGGGATCAAGCCATGCATTGGGCTTCCCGCTCAGTGGGACATCTGCTTGTCTCTCTCCCTTTGCCCCTCCCCTGCTCACGCTCTCTCTCCCTCTCTCAGATAAATAAATAAAACATTAAAAAGAAAAAGTCCCTGAGGAGCTTATATGAACAAACCTTCAGAGCATATGTGGTTCTAAATACAGTGAACATCCAGTCAAACATGATGTATTAAGCACGTGTGTTTACCTTTACTCCCCTCCTGAAATGCCCCTAAAATGAGAATAAAGATATTTTTAAAAGGTATAAAAGTACAAGAACCAAAAGATTGAGAAGGGAGATGAGAGCAGTACTGAGATCTTGAAAACTTTTACAAGGTGGAAAGTAGATTGAGGAGCCAGGAGAGTCAAGAAATCTGAAAATCAAGTGTCTGTGGATGTCAGTGAAAGAAGCCAATTTGTGCTGTACAACCCTATAAGTTTCAGAATTTGGAGACACAAGTTTGGATGTAGAAACACGCTAATAACAGGGAAGAGAACTTAAAATAGGGTACCTGATTTCAAGTTTGGGAAATGCACATAGAGATCCCCACAGTAGGGGGCATCCTTTCTTCTGAAAGTTAGGGGATGCCCTGGGATGAAGACTGAGTTGCTGGCTGTATAAGCAGCTGCTCCATATTAGAACAAGAGGAAGAGGGTTCTGGAGAGATTCTCTAGAGAGAAACAAATGGGCCTGATGGCTCACCTGAATGAAACCGAATATTTAGGAAACACTTTACAAATGTATTGGAGAATTGAGACAAATTTATGATAGAACCACATAACTAAGCATATAAAGAGAGAGAGAGGGAGAGAGAGAGAGAGAGAGAGAGAGAGCGTGTGCGCAAGATGGTAGAGGAATAGGAGATCTAAATATCATCAGGTCCCAGGAGTTCAGCTAGATAGTTATCAAACCATTCTGAACATCTACAAACTCAAAAGGAGATCAAAGAGAAGAAGAGCAGCAATTCTTGGAACAGAAAATCGACCACTTTCTGGAAGGTAGGATATGTGGAGAAGTGAATCTGAGGCGATACATGGGAAGAAAGACTGCGGGGAGAGGGGCAGTGGAGCACAAAATCAGAACTTTTAGAAGTCTGCTCCACTGAGGGACGTCACTCCAGAGGCTAAGTGGGGGGTGGGGGTGTGGAGGGGTGGGGATGGTGGAGCCCTTGTGGTGTGGTCTCAGGACCCACGAGGTTACAAAAAGTCCAGGGGTGTCTGAGGATGGTAGAGCTGCCAGGTGTCAGAGAGTGGAAGCCGGCCTCAGAGATGAAGCTGAGAAATGGGCTCTCAGCTCGGGGTTACCTTAAACCATGATCCAAGACACAGTCGGACCCCTGCTCTTTGCAAGGACCCCACAAGTGGCAGATCCGGGGAGATCCTCTCCTTCCTCCTCTGGGAAGACTGGTACGGAACTGCACTGCAGGAATCTCTTGGGTTTGGGGACTACAAAAGGGGCTGTGCACCGGAGATAGAAATGCTTAGTCACAGGCCTGGTGAGCACAGAGCACAGCTGGAGACAAGGGAGACAGGAATGATTGACGGCTTTTCCCTGAGGGCGCACTGAGGAGTGGGGCCCTGAGCTCTCGGCTCCTACAGGGCTGGAGCCATTTTCATTCCCATCCTCCAAAGCTGTATGGAAAGCATTCAGGGAACAAAAGCTATCAAGAGCAAAACTGAGCAGATTACTTAGCCTGGCCCCCAGCAAGGGCAGTGCAAATCCTCCTTGGGCAAAGACATTTGAGAATCATAGCAACATGCCCATTCCCCAGAAGATTAGCAAGAACATCCAGCCAATATCAAGTTCACTGATATTGGAAAGCAACACATAAAATTAATGGCTTCCCCCTCCCATGACTCTTTAGTCTTTCAAAGTTAAGTTTTTTAAATTTTATTTTTTCTTATTCTATTTAAAAATTTTTTTCCACTTTCTTACCTTAATGTTTTTTTTTTAAAGATTTTATTTATTTATTTGACAGAGAGAAATCACAAGTAGGCAGAGAGGCAGGCAGAGAGAGAGGAGGAAGCAGGCTCCCCGCTGAGCAGAAAGCCCGACGCGGGGCTCGAACCCAGGACCTGGGATCATGACCTGAGCCGAAGGCAGCGGCTCAACCCACTGAGCCACCCAGGCGCCCCACCTTAATGTTTTTTAACTATTTTATCTTATCAATATCTTTTTAAACATCTTTTTAAATTTTCATTGTTATAGTCATATTCTATTCCTTATTTGACCTTATTTTTTGTATACATAAAGGTTTTTCTCTCTTTAAAATTTTGGGATACAGTTTATTCTAATAGATCAAAATATACCCTA